GATGATGATGATGATGATGATGATGCGCATGGCTGATGTGCGAAAGGAAAAGTGCCAGCAAGTCTAAACTGCCTGAATCAAGCGTCGGCTTCAGGAGCATCCAACTTATCCAAAGCATTCGCAAGCAGGCGGCTTGCTTGGCCTTCTTCTCTGCCAAGTCCGGCAGCTCGTGCTGTGTCGCGCATTCGCTCAAACGCGGCCTTCGCTTCGCGAAAGGAGCAGTTGTGGAATGCGGCGACTCCAGCCTGTTCGGCATCTTTTCTCAAAGGGATGCGAAGATTGTGGCACCGGATGCTAAGCCAACTCGTCACTGTAAGAGTTCTTGTAGTCATCCCTACCCTTTAAGTCCCTTTAAGCCAAAACCCCCATGCACCCTCACGCACACCCTAATCCCCAGGAGAGACAGGAGCGCTTCTTGGATCAAAACGCTTCCGAGCGCCTCCTGTGCTCGAGCTATCTCCTTCGCCTTGGCGTGTCGCTGAGATCACACGTAAGTCATGCAATACTGTAACCGTTTAGGGCTTCAGGGTCTGTTGAAGGATGATACTTGCGGACTGCACGGAAGACGCGAAACTTCTGTCGAACCATCGCCTAGAAAACGACACCGGCTGCGACACTCAGAAACAAAGCCCTCCTATGCGGTGCTGGGACTGCGACTAGTGAAAACCTTCGTGACCCTGATGATCCTTCTGCTGCGAAACTGTTTTTACTTAATCTTTGTGCAGCTAGTTAGTTTTGCTTTTGAATACATTGTCGCCCTCGTCATCATTGCCATCACCATCACCACCACCACCAGCACCTGCAAGACGATTGGTGGAGATCTTGCGGTCGCAATCAGGATCGCAGCATGGCCACGGCAATGAAGAGGCTCAGCACCACCACTACCGGCACCATCAACGCCGCCACAATTATCCCCGTTCTCTTATACTGTTACACACATCTTTCGTACTGGTAGCTGTTCTCCATGATAGGCGATACCTATGCCACTGCATCTTCCAGCACGACTTCTCCTCGTAACTCCACACCAGACACAGTCACTAGACACCTCTCCACCGGGTAAGCCGGGTGGCAGCTGCTGAGGTGGAGTCCTCTGCAGAGGTGGCCGTGGCTGTGGCCACAGTGTTCGCGGCAGTGGTGCCCTTGCCGACCTTGCCTTCCTTCTGCGTCTCCGGCACTGGCACAGACGAAGCTGAGGCAGACGTGGGAGCCGAGGTGGCTTCGGAGTCTGCCTTCTTGCTTAGCTTCTTCGCTGGCTTGTTCAAAAAACCACGGGCCATTCCGGTAGCTTTGGCCGCCTTCTTGGCAGCTTGGCTCGGTTTGGCCGTGGCCTTGGGCTCTGCTGGCGCCTCGGATGCCTCAGGCAGCTGCTCGGCTGCCTGAGGACCTGCGCTGGAGCTAGCAGCTTGGATTGGTCTGGCATCGGGAGCCTGAACGGAATCCACGGCGCCAGCTCCTACGATCCCTTCACTGAGGGTCTCCGAGAGAGTCTCCGGCAGGGTCTCCTCCGCCACCTCATCTTCTCGAGGGACCTCTTCTCGAGGGACCTGGACTTCCGAAGGTTGGGAGTCACCAGGCCGTTCCTCTTCGCCTGCAGGGGCTTCGTGATCGGGGACTTCCCGAGGCCGGGCTTCCCGAGGTTCTCGAAGTGGGTCTTCGCGAGGAGCTTCGCGATTCTGGGCTTCAAGAAAGGGGATCGCCGAACGGTCCAAGCTCCTCGGACCCCGTCTTGTCAAGATGCGCTTGGCAAGCCAGGCGAGGCCCGCAGCAATGCCGGCAAGGCTGACAAGGCCAAGAGCCCACGAGGGCCACGAGGACCGCCATTTCCCCGCCACCATTTGAAGGAAACAGACTATTGCTTTGAAACATGCTTTGCGATGTGCTTCGGTTGCGTGAAATCTGCATCTGCGATGTTGGGTTCAGGCTCATGCATCTTTTGGTAGCACCCGGGTGCACAGTTCAAAGACTTGACAGGCTCCAAGCAGGAAAGCAGGCAATCTTCACACAGCCATTCCTTTTGCCGGCCTTTTGAAGCTACTAAGCCCTATATAGGCCCTCAACCCTAAATCCGAAACCTACCGGGAATCTGCCAAGTCGAGGGCGGCTCGGAGAAGGCTCAAAGCCACGTACAACCTCAGCTCTGTTGCCATGGTAGCTGTCCTCCCTGGCTGTGGGTTTAGATGGCATAGCTAGTAGTTGCGGTGTCAAACAGATTCACTGGAGAATAAGTTACAAACAACTGCAGCTAGCAGATGGAGGATACTGTCTGCCACCTTCATCATGGCCATCACCGTCATCACCGTAACCACCACGTAACAGCAGCTATGTCTAGTTGCGAGGTACTACATGATCAGGATTGCTACGACTGATGCTCGCACTACGCCTTGGTCGCAGTGCCTACTTCGCCGCAAATACAGTGTTTGCCTGAAGTTTCCAACCCGAGATTCAGGCCAGAAGTGGATATCAGCATTCTAGCCGCACAGGCATTCCATCATTCAATAACTGCGACTATCGTGATCAGTGGTGATCACGCTGGCTGCCATTCTAATGACTGCCCTTTCAATGCTATGATTGGCATTGGCACTGACGAAGCCATAAAATCGAATGTTCGCACTGTGACCCCGACCTTTTTCGTGTAACGACCACTATCCCTTCACCCCTTAACGACTTCAAACAAATCGTGACTTACGCGCAAACCTAACAATGTGGACCTTACCCGGCTGGAAAGGCTAAACTCTAGGCTTGCACGCCACAAACTCAGAACCGCGAACTTCTTGGACTCTACACACCCAACTCCTGTACAAAACCCATCACGCCGAGCCCTGAAAGCCTCAACACGAGAGCCCCCAGAGCCCACACAATCATACCAAGTCACACGCAGGGCTCCTCGACGAAGCGCTCGACGGAGGCAAGCCCCTTGCATCCTCTAACGACGACTGGAGAAGCTCTGAATTGCAGAGACTCAACCAAAGAGGCTTGCGGAACGAAACTCCTGCCTGCGTCGCCTGCTGCAAACAGGTTCTGCAACAGGAGGAAGCCGTGATCCGGTCGTCGCCAGCCTGAGTCTCTTCCGAGCCATGAGGTCATGTGGGTAGTTGTCAAAATTAGGGTCCCTTTTTGGGGTACCCTTAATTATAGGTGCCATAATTTTGATAATCAATTATGTATGACAAGAACAATCATGATAAGTCTGATGATAAGAGTCACACTGATTTTGGGCTCAGTGTCTTGCAAAGTGCAAGTAGCGCGGCCAGGCCATAAGGAAACAGCGCCGAGAGCGCCTGACCCGAGAAGGGGATGCTTCCAAAACAATGGAATGCCCATGCACACATGTGATAACATGTGATGCTTTTCGCGCTGCGCACTTTGCCATCCTGAGAGCCGGGGGTTACGTGAGCGCTCTCTGCTGTGCACGCCCCGCCGTCTATGACAGCAATAGTGAGCACACAAATTGGTGCTGAGTCGGCCTACGGAGGCAAAACAATCACAGACTGTGCATTTCAGCACGTGCCTTTACAAGTACGGGCTTCCAGCATGCAGAGCTGGACGGGACAGTGAACTACAGTATCACTCAAGCTGAAGCCGTCGTGAGTGCACTGCATATGCCTAGCAAAGTAGTTATGTCCAAATCAGTGCCATGCTCGCGCAGCTGGTTCTTGCGAAACCCTGAACTTGAAACTCTGAAACCCCAAAGCATTAAATCCCTTTAACCCTAAACCGTGAACCCCTAAACCCTGATTATCCGTAAAGCCTGAACCTTCAACCCTTAAACCATTAAAGCGAGTCTAGGCCGCTGAGACAAAGCCCAACGTCCCAACCTCGGCGCGAAGCTCGGCATTCCCAGCCACGGCATTTGCCACAAAGCTCGGCCTCGTGGAACGGGGGTTTGTCGGGCTTTAGGCTTTAGGGCTTAGGGCTTTAGGGTTTTAGGGTTTTGGGGTTTAGGGTTTAGGGTTTAGGGTTTAGGGTTTAGGGTTTTAGGGTTGAGGGCCTTAGGGTTTTAGGGTTTAGGGCCTTAGGGTTTCAGGGTTTAGGCCCGGAGTCGTCCAGAAGGTTTTTTGCGATTTCTACAAGTGCTCATCTGCACGAACCGTCAGCCCAAGCATGCATATGGGTAGTTCTCTAGATTAGGGTCCCTTTTTAGGTCCCCAATATAGTACGGCAACACTTATAAAAAGGACCCAAAAAAGTGGAAAACTACCCATATATGAATACTCGTCATTCTCCGAAGGTTGCGGCGAATGCAGGGCGCCCCGCACCGCCTCGCACCATGCAGGCGAGCGTTCGCCACCTGGAAAGGGGTTCAGGGTACGCTCGGGCTGAGGCTTTGGGGCTCAGGGTTTAGGGTTTAGGGTTTAGAGTTTAGGGTGGCTTTGGGGTTCCGGGTGTAAGGCTCAGATGCAAGGTTCAGGGCATAAGGTTTTTAGGATGGAAGAACTAGCGGCTCCTGACAAAGGGTGAAAACTGCCGACCCGGTATGCCAAGCCGTTGCCTCCATTTCGACTGCTTCTCTCCGCCCGAATTCCGCGACTAAACCCAGGGCGTTTAGGGTTTGAATGCTTCCTAAAGGCTTCATGCTGTGCGGTTGAGACTGCTATGGCAATGGCCATACTACACTGTCCATGTCCCCTATTGAAATATTGTCTTCTGCTATTGACAATGCCAAAATCGCCATCATCATGACTACTACTTTTTGAATCACCACCAGCATTGACACTACAAGGACCACTACGATCAGGCATGATCATCACCACCACCACGATCATGCACTTCATCGCCGAACTCACGGCCCGCAGAAAGGAGACAATCATACGAGCCTGGAGAGGCCACATCACTGCGTGCCTGCACTTCCAGGTGCTGTAGTTGCAACTATGACGTGATTCCTGCGTCCTGCTTTGGTCTATGACGGCATCTCGCAGTACTAGGATTATAACTACCCTGTGTCCTTATCGTTCGAAATCGTGGTCGTCGCCATCGTATTCTGGGTCTTGGCCGTCGTCGTCGTCGGAATTATGTATTGGGGTAGTAGCACAAACGAACAAGGATGTAGATAAACAGATGGACAGACAGATACATGGACAGATAGATAGATGGATAATCACAGATCGACGAGCGAAGGCGAGAGAGAGACACAGAGAGACAGAGAGAGAAAGAGAGAGAAANNAGAGAGAGAGAGAGCGCGGCATGGAGACCTCTGAGTAGACGGCCTGCACAGCGAGGCGCTCGATCAGGCCGCGTCTCCACCAGCGGCCCTGGTTGGCGGGTGAGGTCCCCTGACCCGCCAAAGTGGTTCCTCTGTTGAGGGTTCAGGATTTTGGAGTCATGGAGTTAAAGGATGTTCAAGGTTTGGATTTCCATAGGCACGTCGGAAATGGAGTTTCTTGCTTGTTTTCTCCATCTTCCTCTCCAATCAACTTGTGCCTGCATGTCGGGCCGACCAGCTGACAAGTTCCGGGCCTCGGCAGACATCCCAAACTGGGCATTTATATAAGGTTTAGGGTTGAGGGTTTAGGGTCTCTCTGCTGACACGAGATGACACTCTGAGCGTGCTGCGAGCTTCAGGCAGGCTGCTCCTGCGGCCTCGTGCTGGGCAACTTTCTCAGGCCTCGGTGGCCGCTGCGATTGCGAGGGGGAGGCCCTGGGAGCAAATATTGCAATTAGGGTCTAGGGTTTTAGGGTTT